TATGACTGACCTCTCAGAAGGCTGAGAATCCCAGAGAATAGCACAGTCTTCACAGTTCAGAGGCTGTCTGCCTCCCCTGGCCTTAGCAACTGTTTTGCCCACACAGGTGAGAAGAGACTCTTCACTGACCTAGGAGAGACTGCAAGGAGCCAATATGGTACCTTATAATTAGACCCTGCATCCTTGGGATCCTGCCCATCTCTCACTCTATGTCTTGCTTGGGCAGGAGGAGCTAAGGATTAAGAAGGGAGCCCTGTGCTGTCTCAGTATCTTGTGTGAAACTGCTGTATGAAAGGTTTTCAATGGAATACCTCTGGTTCAAAAAGTTAGCTACTTGGGTTATGTGGTTACACAGTAGAGTGGGTCTGTCTTGTGTGTGCACACTGTGTGTTGTACGTTTGACAACCGGGTTACAGCACAAACTAACTTTGGCAGCCCTGGGGACTAAGGGGAAGGTCGCAGCTTCTGCATTTTGCAAAAATGGTCTCATAGCAAGCAGCTCTTCGCACTGGCTTCCCTCCCTAGGGTGAAGTAGTAGAAGGAATGCCATTGCTGCATACAAGCTATCGTGGCATCTAAGCCCGACCCCTTGTTTGAGATGGTAGCCTGCAGGTAAAAGCTAAGAGCAGGGCCACTGGGCATAGGTAGGTGACCCTAGCCTTAGTCTAGCTCTCCCTGGACCCTAACCTTCCAGGCTGTTGCTGACCTGGGACTGGTGTCCATGGAAACTTTCATCTGTTTGGGTTTAAATGCTCTGCTCAATATGGCCTGGGGTCTGTATCAGGGTTGATCTGTGCTTCCTGCCAAAAAGTGTATTTAAGTTATAACTCCCAGCACCTCTGAATATGACCCTATTTGGAAACAAGTTCATTATAGATGTAATTAGTTAAGATGAGGTACTACTGGAGTAGGGTGGGCCCCTAATCCAGTCTGATTAGCATTCTTTTTAAGAAGGCAAAAACACAGGAAGAAGATTCTGTAAGGATTTAGACAGAGTTTAGAGGTACACAGCTACACTCTACCAAGTGTGTAGCTGCCCGTGAGACTTCAGAAGCTCAGAAAGGGCAAGACTCTCATACAGACTTCAGATGGAGCAAGGCCCTGCTAACAACTTGATATCAGACGTGTAGCCTCCAGGACACAGGAGCAATCAATTTCTGTGTAAGCAACAATGAGCATGTGGAGGTCAGAGGACACCACAAGAGTCAGTTCTCTCCTTCCATCATGTGGGTTCCAGGGATTGAACTCAGTCATCAGGCTTGGCAAGTGCCTTTACCTGCTGAACCATCTCACTAGCCCTGATGATAACTATTTTGCAAATGACAATACTAATGTCAAGAAATGTCAGAGATACCTGCACATCCATTTTTATTGCTGCTCTATTCATAATAGGTAGGTAACAAGATCAACCTAGATATTTACCAACAGATGAATACTATAATACCCAATGGGGTTTATTCAGCTATAAAGAAGAAAAAAATCATGCCATTTGCAAAGAAATGGATGGAACTGGGAATCATGTTAACTGAAATAAGTCAGACTCCAAAATCATGTTTTTTATCATATGTAGAATACAGATTCAACACACATATGTGCTTGTACAAACAGGTGCATATACATACAGAGGAAAGAAGTGGAATTATTCAGGAGGAAGAAGACCAGCAGGAGGGAAGCCATAGAGGACAGTACATGGCATGCACATACAAAATACCACAGTGAGGGGCAGGAGAGCTGGCTCAGTGGTTAAGAATACTGCTGCTCTTGCAGAGGACCCATGTTCAATTCCCAGCACCAACATTCATACCTCCAGTTCCAGGAGTTCTTACACCCTCTTCTGACCTCCATGGGCGTTGCACAATACTTATACACATAAAATAATAAACTATTTTTAAATACCACAATGTAACACATTATTTTATACAATTACTATACACTAATTAAAATAAACAAAATTCCATGGAAGTATGGGCAGAGCTTGGGAATGTTGCTCCCTGGTTTTCTATTGCCTCTTGGCAAGACTCTTGTCCTAGTGCTTTAGCGATGACAGGGGGCTGGCCTCCTCTGGTCCTGTGATGAGGGTGCCTGAGCTACCTGTAGTTGCTCCTTTGTCTACCCTACACAGGCTCCCGCACCCCAAGCCTGCCCTGGCTGTCCTAGTTGACAGGTGTCTTTCTGAACCAGCTTCCCAGATCTGTGCATAATAGGGCCTGGCTTTCAGCTGTCTTGCTCATTGTGTTTCCTCTGTGTGTCCCATCTGCCCAGCTCCCTGGTTCCTGTGAGTCATGTCTTACCCTTAGGCCAGCACAGTGTATTTGGAAGTCCAGGTTTAGCACAGGGTGCTATAGCAGAGATGGTAGGGTCTACAAGACTCATCTGTCTGCAGAATCTTTCTTCCTGTGTCTAAACTGAGCACTAGCTGAAAGCTACAGAATGCAATGGGATACCAGGGGTAGGGGCTTGCCCTGGGAAGCACTGTGATGAGCTACCTTGAGAGAAGGAGGTCAGTGATGTTAGTGTCAAGGTTCCAGGGATGTGGCCCTGGTTTTGGAGCATGGAACATCTCCCCACTCAATGCACGCCTCAGCCCCACATGCCACTGCTTCTGTATGTGCATGGGGCTCAGACTTCATCTCTGCTGGCTTCAAAACCCTGGGCTTCACATTTCCAGAGCCTGGGAAGTATGAAGATGTACTGCAGTGGCTTTGCTGCAGCCTATGATTACAGTCTGATCGAAGAGAGTCATCAGTGCCCACACGCTTTTCTAAAATCTGCAAACCTGCTCTCAGAGTCTTCCATTCCCAGCTCTGTCCAGTTCAGCATCAGGATTATAAAAAGATCTTTCTGAAGTGTTGTGTGTGTGTGTGTGTGTGTGTGTGTGTGTGTGTGTGTGTGTGTGAAAGGGAGCCACCCAGTTGCGCAGATGGACAGAATGTGCCAGTGGTGCAAGGCACTGCGAGAGGAGAGAGATCCTTCCGTTCCCTCAGGGTTTCTCCACTGATGGCAGCACTCATGTGTCTTGAAGCTGGGAGAGCTTCTCCCCACCTCCTATTCCTGTTCCCATCTCTTGGCATTTCTGGAGCATTCTTCGCTGCTCACAGCATGACCAGAAGCCACACAGGTGTGTCCCTGGGCTGAGCCTGGAACAGTGTTGCTGTTTGTGGTCTCTGCCCTCACTGCTACAGTATCAAAGCCCTGGCATTTCTGGAGCTGTGGAAAAACTTGGTTCACACAGCCCTCTGTGCCCTGCCTGTCTCAGTGCTGAGCTGTGGATCAGCCACTGAAATTCAGAAACATCTGTGGGCCCCTGCAGGTACATGGTGTGGCCTCAGAACTGACCTTATCTATAAGACTCCAGGCAATAACTCAGGGCTAAAGGAGGAGATGCTGGTGGCTTCATCTCTGGGTATGAGGAAGATGAGCACTAAGCTTCTGTCACCCCAGAAAGGTGACTGGGAGGTTAGGCCATGGAGGAAGGAAGTGTGAGTTCTGGAATCTGTGTCCAGAACTTGTCTGGGCATTTCCAGTATTGTAGCCTCAGGGCTCATTTGGGGAGATTTAAGGAAGGGGGCAGGTGTGGAGAGTGGAAATCACATTCTAGAACTCCTCAAATGAGTGGGAGGAAGACTAGCTGCCTTGATACCCCCAAGATAGAATGTGCTGTGGCAGCTTTGAAAAAAAGATCAAATGTGCCAAATTTTGGAGTTTGTTAGAGAAAGGAAGAGTTTCAGGGTGCCACCAAAAGTGGCAAACTCCCAAATTATCCGTGCAAGCCCAGGCTTTGATCCCCCCTTGCCACAAAAGCCACCTGCCCTACCTCAGCCCAGGCACCTGACTTCAAGTCAGGGAAACTGTGTACATGGAAGGTTCTGATCTGACTGAGCTGTGGACATCCAGGACCAGGACTATAGTGGACATCTGTGGAGACTATGATGCCTACTGACCGCCTGCTATTCATTTCTTTTGCTTCTGCCCTTTCTTCCCCCAATCTTACCCTCTGTGTGCTCCTCCCTTCTTTCCCGTCTGAGTCTCTCTGACTCCTGAACCTTTTGATATCCCTCCCTTTTGCCAAGGAGGCTCCAGAGGAAGACTGTGAAAGCTAGAAAATAGCAGCTAAGGCTCCTTTGGGTGCCTCACTTTCTAAAATATTTTCTTTATTATTATTTTTATTTTATGTGTATGAGTGTATTGCCTGCATGTATGTAAGTGCACCTGGAACTGGAGTTAAGGATGGTTCATAGCTGCCATGTGGGTGCTGGGAGTCGAACCTGGGTCCTCTGCAAGAGCAGTCAGTGCTTTTAACTGCTGAGCCATCTCTCCAGCCCCAGGTGCCTCACTTTTGATCTCTGGGTTTTCCTATTCCTAAGGGAATACCTAGTTGATTCAACTCTGGTTACTAAGTCTCTACTTCCATGGAAGTGAATACCGGCTCTGGAATGTGTGCTTCCTCCAGGTAGGGATATTGTCAGCAGGCTACTAAAATGAGGTGAGAGGAGCCATCCCAACACTCTGCCTTAAACAAGGTCAGAGAGCATTAACAACCCTTCTTGCTTTGTCTCTGGAAGTGCTTTTAATTCTTCTAGATACATTTTCCTTCATGCCTGTGTAAACATCTTTATGCCATAAGCTGGACACCTTTATTTTATAGACTGACAAAATGAGGCCCAGAAAAAAATATGTCCTCTCCAGGATCTGTGGTCCCTGGTTATCAATATGAATTTGTAGAGTGAGCGCTAACGTGCAACCAGATGGTCTGATGGTGAAGAAGTCACTGAAGACTGGAGGTCCCAAAGACTCTGTGTCTAGTCACACATAAAACAGATGAAAGCAGTTTGTGTGGGTGTAAAGCACTTCCTGCACAAAGGTCAGGAATCTTGGGCACAGTCTCCTGCCTCTCCACTTCTCTCCTCGCTGGTCTTCCCGTGAGAGCTAAACCCACTTTCTCTAGGTGGAAGGGGTAGACTTTCACCTAACCCCTGATCCCTCTGGTTCTCTCCCTCTAGATTGTAAATTCACCTGCCACCCAGAGTGCCGCAGCCTGATCCAGCTGGACTGCAGACAGCACGAGAGCCCCTCTCTGGATAGACCCTCTCCAGAAAGCACCCTCACCCCGACCTTCAGTCAGGTAGGCAATGGAGTCCATGGACCAGGATGGAGAGCAGCCCATGAGGGTGACATGATTCCAGATACACAAGATGCCCTTGAGGCAGATGGCACCCCAGATGTAATATTTCTGAGGGAACTAGGGAAAGTGACAGGAAGAAGCCTGCCTGCAGTTCTCTCCGTGCATTCTGATTTGGTCTGGGGCTCTGATCCAGGGAAGGGGTACAGATGGGAGCAGGGTGAGTTCTACAGGCGCTGCACATAATCCTGCCATTAGACCATTGAACAGCCCAGGCTTTACAGATCAACCTTCAGAGGAGCTGGGCAAGTGTTCTTTATCTGTGTTAAGGAACAGGAGGGTGATGTCCTAAACAGCTCATGATTCTACATTTTGTCAATGTGCCTGAATTATAGTGCATCTGAACTTTAATGTCTAGGCTTTGGGATACAGAGGACAACGTGTAGATTGTTGTGTTAAACATTTATTGATTATTATATACAAAGTACTGTTGAGAGCAGGGGTGATAAATGATAACATCAAAATTGCTCACAGCTTGCATTCTGGCAGGGGAAACATAATACAACTAAATGGTACATACTAGGACATATGTGCAATGAATTATCAGACAAGTATTGTGGGTACACAGTGCGATAGTTTCTCCTAGGAGAAATCAAGGAGGGCTTCCCCAAGGAGCTGACATTTAATATGTGCTTCTCCTGTGGATTGAGAGTTGCTGGTCAGAGAAGTAAGCTGTGTCCTGGGATATTACCCATTTATTCATTTAACAAGAGGTTTAAGTGTCCTCTGTATGCCAGGCACAGGAATGCCAGGGGTCTTATTGATGCAGTTAAGAGACATGGTTCCTGCCTGTCCTGTGCTTACAGTAGGATGTGGGAGAAAGACTAAACAAACTCTTGAGTCTAAGAAGGAGAAGCCCCAGACATTATGGGGGACTTCTGAGTAGTCTCAGGTCTCCACAGTGATCTCATGCAGATTCTACAGTATTCAAATGTGTGGCGTACACCTGTGGGTATTCCCAGCTCCCCTGCTGTTTTGTGCCTTCTCTCATGGAAAAGCATTATTAGAAAACAAGTATGATATATGATTTTGCAAATCTAATGTCATATGGACCTGAATTGTGCATTTGATAATCTGGTAGACATCCCCAGCCTTAGATATAGCTGGGCTCTGGACATGGCCTGCCTGGCCCACACCGGAAGCACTGGTAAGAGACTTCTTTGTCTCCGTTGTGTTGTTTTTCTGGTGCTGGTGATGGAACCTGAAACATCTACTTCTTGGATCTGCTTCTTGGGATCTCTCTGACCCCTCCTCTAGAGCAGCAGGTCTCAGAAGGGGTGATTCTGTCCCTTCCCCAGGGCATCTGGTCATATCTAGAGATATTTTTTGGTTGGCAAGTGGGTGGATGCTTTTGGAACCTAGTGGATAGAGACCAGGGTTTCTGCTAAGCATCATATCATGAGCCACAGCAAGGCATTATCTGGTTCCAAATGTCAGCTGTGTTGAGGCTCTCTGCAGGGCTCCGGACAGAAGGCTGGGAAGGGCTTGGGTTTGCTGCATACAGAGTCTTTTTTCTCAGTGATTTCAAAGAAGAGTGCTTTCCAGTGGCATGTCTGACAACAGAGCTCTGTCCGCCTTGCCTCTGTGGAAGAAGAGGGAGAAGAGGCAACCTGGAGGCTTCTTGCAAGCTAAGTCAGGGCTGTCTAGCATAGATACTGAACTAAAATATCACAGGGGTATCAGAATCCAAGGTGCCAGCAGCCCTCAGCAGGCAATAGCCTGTTTGGGGCCTGGGCTGGTGAGGCACTGTGGCATTTGCCTTGGACTAGCTTAGTCCTAAGCTTCAGCAGAGTGCCCCACCAGCCTGTCAATAAAGCTGGGTCCTGCTCCAGGTCCCTTGCCCTTCTTAAAAAACTTGTTTGTGCTGATTTCCACTATGGCTGGTTTCTGTTGCATGTCAGGATGACATGGCACTTTCTAGCACTCCCTACCCACCTGAACTTACCTCCTACCATCTTCCTGAGAATTTATCCAGGCAAAGACCTGGGCCTGAGCTCAGCTAGGTGGGGGCATGTGTCTGTTGGAAGGTCTCATCATGGTGGAATTTTTCCATTTTTACTATTTAAGGAAGAAAAACATCGATTTTTCCAAGAGCTGGAGAAGCTCTCCTCAATAAAAATTTCATGTATCTCTTCTGTGTTTTTGGTATGACCAAACATGCCTCCTGTATGTCCACCTAGGCCCTGTCTTCAGGTTCAGCCTGTTTGCCAGAGAACACAATTACTACTAGTTGAGGGCCACAGTACATTGCTGGAACAGATACTATTCTATCATCTGGGGACAGCTCAAGCAATTTTATGTTTCTGATGGTTTTAAAAGTACTCTTGGGGGCTGGAGAGATGGCTCAGAGGTTAAGAACACTGGCTGCTCTTGCAGAGGACCTGGATTCGATTCCCAGCACCCACATGGAGGCTATGAACTGTCCTTAACTCCAGATCCAGGGGAATCTGAAGCCCTCTTCTGACCTCTGCGGCATTGCATGACATGGGTGCACTTACATACATGCAAGCAATGCACTCATACACATAAAATAAAAATAATTTAAAAAATTTTAAGTGTTCTTATTATGTCACTCCATGATGAAAAGTCCTTGGTGGCTCCCTAGTGCCCTCATGGTGAAGTAGCCCAGCCCCTCCACTGCTTCTGTGAAAGCCCACCTCAAGAGAAGATGCTTGTTCATCCCTGCCGCTTATCTCATCGTAACCTGCTCTGGAGAATCTACACAACTGTCCAGACTACATGAGACAAACCTAAGCACCTCCTGTCACTCAAATCCCATTCACCAATGCCCATATTTTCTTCTATCCATCAGGCCCCAGTGTCTCCCTCCCCATATCATGGCCCTGCAGAGGCCCTCTGCAGAGGTCTACCTTCTCATAGTGGTACCTAAGCCACAGGCTGGCTCTTGGCATGTTCATTTTTGGGATCCTGACCTTAGCCATGTTGCATCTGGCTGTTACTTCATAGTTCTCTTTACATATAAGCATTTAAAAATTTTTATTTTTATTATTTTGTGTATGCTCTGTATATGTGCAGGTGTGCAGGCGTATGTATAGGTGTGTGTGTGTAGGTCAGTTGTTCCTTAGGAACTGTTCACTTTGTTGAGACAGCCTCTCACTGGGACCTGGGGCTCAACTATTAGGCTAGGCTAGCAGGCTATTGAGCCCCAGAGTTCTACCTCTCTCTGTCTTCCCAGTGCTGGAATCACAAGTATGTTCCATCACATGTGGTTTTGGAGGCTGAAACTCAGGTTCTTACGCTTGTGTGGCAAGCACATGACCAACTGGGCTACCTTTCCAGTCCCAGCACATACATTCATTTTGTTAAACATAGAGGCCTAAGTCATTATGCCATTGTGTAGATGACCCTGTCCCCATTCTCCCAAGGGACAGATGACTTTCTGAGCTACCTCCTACTGACACTCCACTTATCTCCATTCCAGGCCCTGCCTTTCATGACTTTCCAAAATAAGTGCTACTGTCTTTTGTTGAACTCAGGACTACCACAAGGGGGAGTTCAGAGTCTGAAAGGCTTAAAAGGTGTGTATCCAGCTTGAAAGCCCTGGCTCCCTTACAAAGACTCTCCTGGTGGACACACTTATTTCAACTTACAGTTTACATTCTGGTTTTTGTTTGTTTGTCACAGTGCTGGCGATGAACCATTTTCATGCTAGGCAAGAACTGTATGACTGAGCTACATCCCCAACCTTTGATTGGCTATACCCTGTACTTTGAAACTCCATTGTTAGGTGCACAAAATTTTAGGATTATTTTGTCCTTGTAATTAGTTGGCCCCTCTGTCATGATGAAGTATCTTTCTTTAACCCTATAACATTCTTTGACTGAAAAATCTACTTTGTCTGATATTAATATAGCTACTGAACCTTTCTTTTAGGCATTTTTCCTTTTATTGAATTTTTGCAAATTTCATGAAATACATTTTGATCATATTTAGATTGTCTCCCCTATCTGCATTTAGATCCCCTCCCCTGTCTGCATCCCTTATTGCCCCCCCAACTTTATGTACTCTACTGTATATATGGATATATCTACATATCCTAATATAGAGTCAAATTTGTATCCCCAAATGCCCTTCAGTATGGGTCCATTGACTGAAACCTGGTTAAGCTACCTAGGGTCTCACCCTTAATTTAGACTGACTTTCCCCCTCCCAGCAGCCATCGGTTGCCAATACTTCCTCAGGTAGGGTTGGGGTTTCTTACCCCTTCCCCATATCTGTGCCGGGATTTTTTCTGGCTTGAGCTTACATGGGACTTGTCCATGCTGTCACCATTGCTGTGAGCTCATATGAGTAACTGACTAGCTGTCTGGAAAACTGTTTCCTTGTGGTCGTCCAACTCTTCTGGCTCTTACAGTCTTTTCACTCCCCCTGACCCTCTTCACAATGATCCCTGAGCTTTGGAAGGCAGAGGATTGATATAGGTGCCCTATTTGGGGATCAGTACTCTTCAGGCTTTTATTCTCTGCACACTGGCCAGTTGTGGGTTTCTGTGCTAATCATCACCTGCTGGATAACAGTCTTCTCTAGTGAGAGCTGAAGGATGCATTAATCTTTTGAGTATAACAATAAGTCATCAGGAGTTGCTTTAATACTATGTCTATTTAGCATTATAATAGTATTAGGCTCCTCCCTGTGGGCTGTGTCTAGTATCTAAGTTATAGGTTGGTTTTAATTGATTGCATTTTCCTGCTTCTTTGCATGTTTGGTAATTTTTTACTAGATGCTAGACATTGCAAATTTTGCTTCACTGGGTGTTGATATTGTCATATTTCTACACTTGACCTTAGCTATGACCAAAAAGCAATGATATTTTCATATTTTCACAAATATTTTTGAGCTCTATTTTGGGACTCAGCTTACTTGGAAATAGTTTGACCCTTTTGAGTCTTGTTTTTATTTATTTATTTTAATATTTTATTTTT